TTTGAAACGTTGAGACACGAACAAGAGCAGGATCTAGAATTACAAAACCTACTTAAAACAAGCAATTCAAGTCTTAATTTAAAACGGTTCTCATCACCTATCGATGGTATTCTAATTTGCTGTGACACGACCAAGGCAATGCCGCGACCTTTCGTTCCCAAAAGTATGCCAAAGTTGATATATAATAACTTTCATTCTTTGTCTCATCCTGGCGCAAAAGCTTCAGCTAAACTAATCAATTCTTGGGTATTGGTCTCCTTCCAGGAGGTCCACTTATCGACTTAGAATACGCAGATGACATAGTCCTGTTTCGTGAAGACGCTGATAAAATGCAGTCTTTTGGTAGCACTAAGCAACAATGCCAGAAAGTTTGGAATGCGCTTCTCTCCCTCTAAATGCAATTTGTTGCTTCAGAACTGGTTTGCGTCAACACCTGAACTAAGGGTAGGGAGTGAAGTAGTTGAACGCGTTGACAACTTCACTTATCTTGGAAGTCTGATCAGCCCTAATGGGTTGGTATCGGACGAAATCTCAGCACGGATTCTAAAAGCTCGTTTGGCTTTTGCCAACTTACGTCACCTTTGGCGAAGGCGAGATATCCGTCTATCAATAAAAGGACGAGTATACTGCGCGGCAGTCCGTTCTGTCTTACTTTACGGCAGCGAAACATGGCCTTTAAGAGTAGAAGACACACGTAAGCTACTAGTATTTGACCACAGATGCCTTGGAAATATTGCTGGCGTCTGTTGAGATCACCGGGTAAGTAATAGTGAGGTTAGACTCAGCGTATTAGGTAATGATGGTAAATCAGTTGATGAGTTTGTGAATCTTCATCGACTGAGATGGTTGGGCCACGTGTTACGTATGCCTGAACACCGAATACCAGTTCGTGCAATGCCGCTCTGGCTTTCACTATACGTGCATTGATCTCATCACTCACGCCACCACCAGCACTTATGCAGCTACCCAGATACACGAACTTCTCGACTACGTCTATCTGCTCACCATTCAGGGTGAGTACGGGATTAGAATCCTGCCAGTCCTGTAGAAGTACTTTGCACTTCGAAGGTGCAAAGCACATACCATACCTACGGACACTGATTGCCAATTGATTAAGTGCGGATTGCATGCCTTGGGCATTATCGCACAGTAAGACAATATCGTCCGCATACTCAAGTTCGAGAAGTCTTTCTCCAGGCAACAGATCCACACCACCATTACTTACATTCATCAGAGCTGTTTCCAGAATGTCATCGATGGCGAAGTTGAAGAGGAATGGTGAGATTGGGCAACCCTGCCTAACCCCACTGCTCGAATGGAACAATGGAGAAAGGTGGTTGTATGCCCTCATTCTACCTGAGGTGTTTGTATATAGGGCCTTTAGGATGTTAATAAACTTCTTAGGCACACCCTTCGTCATTAGACAATCCCAGAGAACAGTCCTATCCAAAGAACCGAAGGCAGCCCTGATGTCAAGAAACACTACAATTGTTGGCCTTTGATAAGTATGGCGGTGTTCTAACATTTGGCGGAGGGTGAAGATATGATCAATACATCCTCGACCAGAACGAAACCCAGCCTGCTCCACGCGAGTCAATCTTTCTCGGGTTTTGAACAACCTATGAAGTATGACGGAAGTCAATAGCTTGGACACAATCAGAAGTAGACTTATCCCCAGATAGTTGTTACAGGAACGACGTGAACCCTTTTTAAAGATAGGGACAACTATCGACTCATTCCATGACGTTGGTACACTCTCTAGTTCCCAAACCTTTGTAAACAACGTCGTCAATTCCTTAGTCAAAATGTCACCACCATCTTTAAAAAAGCCGAAGGTAAGTCATTTGAGCCAGGTGACTTGTAACGCTTCAAGAGTTGGAGTTCCTTGCGGACTTCCTCCTCGTTTGGTGGATCAGTCGTCACCGGCCATGGAGGGCAGGACAGTCTGACCGATGTTGCCCGAGCAGCAGGCCAGTTGAACTGCCCATCGTCCAAGACGTCGATGGATGTTAGTGATTGTCATCCCATCATCCTCGCAGATTGTTCCACTCACACCAGATTGCTCGCTGCCAGTGGCTCGGATGAGCTGTAAGAGCTTCCGGTAGTTACCAGATGCAGCTGCTGCTTCCAGCTCATTAGCACGCTTCGACCACCAGGCTTCTCGGTCCTTACGCAAGCTTTGCCCAATTTCCTTACTTAACATCCTTCGTTTATGGTCAAACTCACGGTCACCCGGAGTAGACCGACGGGCTTCAATAAGTTGTAAGGAACCAGAAGAAACCTAGTGCTTATAAGCGGGACGTTTCGCAAACCCACAACTGACTGTTCCCGCCATTTTCATGGCGTCATGCAATTGCAACCAATGCTCATCTATACTTTTCGGTGGAGGCTAGCTCGGTTCGATACTTATTTGCAACAGAAGTTGCAACCAGCTTGCTAATATCAATCCTTTGCTGGCGGTCACTTCGTTGTCCACTAAAAAGTAAGGCAAGATTGGCGCAGACGAAGGCATGGTCAGAGTCCAGATAGGTACTCCAAAAAAAGAGGAAGTCTTTCACACAACCACGCCAGCGGTAGCTGATCGCGATGTGATCAATCTGAGTCCAGGCTTGGGATGCAGAAGGAGGACGCCAGGTGTCACATCGGCGATGACTGTGCCGAAAGTTAGTGCTAGCAAGAAATAGGTTGTGGTCTGTGCAAAGTTGCAGTAGACGGTCCCCGTTATCTGACCTGCGACCAACGAGTCCCCATCGGCCACCTAAACGACTCTCTTCTGTGCCTAGACGCCTGAGCTGAGCATTCAAATCTCCGGCTAGTACTACAATATCTGTCGAACGCATTTTCTGTAGAAGAACAGATAACTGGTGGTAAAACTCATCCTTGATTGCATTCGGGCTGCAATCTATCGGGGCATAGGCGGAGATGACGAAAAGACATCGTTTCTCATCGCTTCTCACTCTGATGGAACTTTCTAATCTAACAGCACATAACCGACTGTTAATGGGGATCCAATGGACTAGTGCTGCCTCAGCTCTAGCGCTTAGTGCGTCACCAACGCCAGCAAGTCCAGACGAGGATGCCACAGGGTCCCCGGATAAGCGCACGTAAAACAAGCTTTTGGAAGCGACAGATGGAGATCTGTTGTCCGACCTGCACTAGCGTGCGAACGTTGAAGGCAGCCAGTTTGAATGGTGCACGTGGTTTCAGAAAATCTGCTTCAGTTCTCGTACTCGGTGGTAACATACAATTTTCAACCGGACAGTGACTCGAGAACGTTTAGATACAGTCGAATTTCCACCAAAGACGAGCCGCTGTTTAAGTATAAAAGAGGGTGAATAATGTGGAAAATAATAATAATAATAATAATAATAATAATAATAATAATAATAATAATAATAATGACAATAATGGTAATAATAATAGTATTAATAATGACAATAATAGTAATGATAATAATTTGAATCATTTTATTGTTTTTCGAAGCGAGAAAAGTAATTTCCATAGACATGAAGAGTTCATCATTCGTGTGTGGGCTGTGATACTGCCCGGGTGCCCAAACCGAAGCAGGTGGTTATCTTAGGGGGCCACACCCCGAGCCTTTGACCTAATGGTCTAACCCATAAGTAATCATAACATTGAACTGACGATATGACTATCATGGCTATGTTAACGTTAAACCAATTATTATTAGTGGTCCATACAAAATCTTGGAACTTAACACTAGCGTTATAGAAAAGACATGTTATGTCAATAGCTTATATATATACTTTTTTTCTCGTTGGTTTAAGTATAACGTAAAATGGAAATCTACCAAACTTGTAGTTTTTTCTATAGTATTATTATTAATACAAACAAAGAACTTGTACTGTTCCAATATGGCACTTTGACATATCAATCCGTCCTCCTGTTATTTTACTCTCATATCTGAGCAACTTATGGGCAACAAACATCGTTTTGAATGGGGTTTTGGTGAACAAAAACGCAAGCACCACACGCACTCGAACCTCTGCCATCCTAAATGCTAAACCGTGTGCCTAGTCATTAGACCACATCAGATCACGGAGGGGGGTGACTGTAATATTTCCTTACACCGATTATTCATTCATAATACTAATGAATAATAGGACTTACACACTTCTAAGGTGCAGAAAAATTCGTTACTTGGATGAATTGATGAAATATTGATTCAATATATCATGCATACTTAAATCAAACCAGAAAAGACTATTTGACACAACTGTAATTTATCCTCATACTCTGCACAATTTTTTTCCTCCTTAACCGTATATATTTTTTCGTTTTGTGGGGTACAATTATGCAAAATTTGTAGCAATAATATAAACTGAATAACTTCATGCCAAGTCCCGATAAGCATAATGAATGGTAACTTTTGGGATCCATTTTATCGTATGATTGTTAAATAACTAAACTATGTATATTCATTTCCCTCTTACTATTAGGTTTATTTTGACTTATGAACTATTATTCTACAATTTACCATTCTTGAATTATGCCCTGTCTATCAACTACTATCTCCCATATTCACAGCCACTTTTGGCTAAATCTTGTACAAATGTTATTTTCTATTTTATGGTACAATTTAGTCTGTCTGGTTGCTATATAAACCCAGTATGTTGCTCAAAATAGAAAACATTTGTACAAAATCTAGCCTAATGTGGCTGTGAATGTGGGGGACTGTAATTTATAGACTGAGTATAACTCAAGAGCAGTAAATCGTATAATAATAGTCTATGAGTTAAAATAAAGCTTATAATGGGAGGAACATGACGATGCATAGTTTGGATACTTAACAATAAACAATACAATAAAAATATATGTATTGTATTGGTCCATAAATGGTTCTCAAAAGTTAACATTGATAATTTTCGTCGGGAAATAACGTTAACAAGGTTTTACATTAACATTTTATAATTTTTTTCCTTACTAATTATTTTTGTTTTTATACATGAAGTAATGTCCGATTTGATAAATGCAATGATATGGAATGTGATGGTTTAAAAAAAGTTCTTGTTATTGATAAAGATGGAGGATTATTTGGTCAACCTAGTGTTATAGTACCACAATCAGAGTGGCAATATAATCTCAATCCTTTGTATGGTTTTGGTGATAATCGTATACCTTCAAGGATGTTAACTAAAGTTGATGGAATATCTATTAATCCTACAATCCAATGGCCTAACAAAGGTAGTTATCTATGAATATACCGCTTATATGTTATTTAAAATGAGTAAGATATAGACAGTGATTTACGAAGACAAAGATTTTACTTTTTAAAAAAGAAATTAGGATCGTAGATAGCATTAGTAGAGGAAGATTCTGTATCACAAATTAATTAAAGTTGAAAATATAGTTCATCAGGTTTCAACTTCGTGATCTAGTGATTTTTCACTTGGAGTAAGACCTGAAGGATTATAATCTCTATCCTTTTCTTGATCATGTGTAAGCCACAGTATAAAAGATCTAAGCTATTCATTTTCATCAATCGGAAAAATAACCGAAAATAATATTATTCATTCATATATCTGTCTTTTAATATTATGGGGATTTTTATACACCTATATCCTTGTTTAATTTTTAAAGAATTATGTTAAAACAATGATAGAACTATATTATACTGATGATTATGAGCAACTTATCAAGCAGTCAGTAAATAGTGTTTAATGCTGTTCATTAAAAAAAGTAATTAAATTAGATTAGATAAACAGTTACGTCAGCAAAGTATTGAGGTTAGGTATTAGCTGTTGAGGTTAGAAGTTGAGATTTGTAGTTCTAAAGCTTTCACCATGAACTGGAATTGACCAGAAAACAAGATTGCTTGATAGTAATATTGATGAATGATTTTCATGACTAGATTAAAAAGGCGCTGTCCGTATTCCGATTGATTGGCGCATAAATTATAGTGCTACTATGTTAGGGTCCGAGACTCGAATCTCTAGGGTTAAGTTTAAAATTTAATTTTACGATAGGAGAGTAAATTTTTCGTTAAACAAAATCTATTAACTGTGCCTTAAATCATTTCAAGAATAAAGTCTGATTAACACATTGATAGCTTGTCTAGTCCTTATTAGTGCAGATCGAATGCTATCGATCATGTTGCAATGTGGCCAACAGTCTAGGTGACTCGACACTGCGGGCACTATGTATTGAGATTTAGATGGTGGTTGGAGGTAGTCAACAGGAAACCCTGGCCCCGGGTTTCGTGCTACTTGGCACTCGTCAGCAAGGTGTACCTGTAATCTTGAGGGAACTGGTGCTCCCTGGCGGCACTCCCCTGGTGGCACTAATAAGGACTAGACAAGCAAGACATTGATCACCACCCAGTGATCAATCAATTGTAATTACATCTCAGTCCTACAGGAGGTTACTCACGGCTCGGATAGCTCAGTGGTAACGTCTCTGACTGTGAAGCTGGGTGACACGAGATCGAATCCGCCAGGGAGCACCAGTTCCCTCAAGATTACAGGTACACCTTGCTGACGAGTGCCAAGTAGCACGAAACCCGGGTCCAGGGTTTCCTGTTGACTACCTCCAACCACCATCTAAATAACACATTGATAACTAGATATCAACAACAACAAAAATTCTGTGAAATAGACAGTGAACGTATCTGATAGTGATAATTTTTTGATTGAGATCATGAACCGATTGATATTAGACCACCATTGAAAACCTGGACAGCCGTTCCGTCCAATTGTGGGACTCCTAAGCAGTGAGCACCCACAATCCCGCTCGCGGGATCCGGACTCAGGGCCTTCAGTCTCGCACGCGAACGCTTAACCTACTGAACCACTGACTCGGCATCCAGTGGTGTTAATATATAACGTCAACTAATCCACGAAATTGCGCGAACATTTTCCATTCTTTTTATTATTTCATAGTTTAAGTAATAAAAGAAAAAATTGTAGAAATATTTTTTTATAATTTCAACTGGTTTTCTTTAAAAAAACGATTAGATCAGATTAATATCATTATCAGTAGGTTATACGCTGGGTTAGTGTTATCTTACATGGAGATGTATATGAATAAACTTTATGCAATCTTTAAGGGGTGTGACATGTGAATACTATAAAAAAATATATGTAATCATCAGGCTGCAAGAAAGCAAGGTCCTTTGAACGAAATCTGGATGGTATGTGTCGGTTATCCGGAACTGAATAGTATTGTAATGAACGAGAACTCAAGTGCGGACAACTAACTTATTGTTTAACGCAAAATCACAGAGTATCTTAGTAAAATATGAAAACCATACATTGAATATTTTATTTGCACATCTTCCATCAATTGTCTCTTCCAAACTTCATCGTTCCTTCACTCCTGTTTTTATTACAATTACTCTCTGTTTACATTACTGTTATCTTTTATTGGATCTTTTCAACCTTCTGTTGCCAGACATTCCACATCTGATTGGTGTTACATACTATCTATACCCGTCCATATACACCCTAATATTTTGTATAATACTAATCTTTGCGTTACAAAAAAAGTAATATGATGTTCAATAATTTCCATATCATTATTAATATTACTAATAATATCACATTGTTGATCTTTCTCTTTAGGTATTATTCGTGATAATTCATGTATTTATATGCCTAAAATGCAAGCATACAAATGCAGTAAAGCATTAGACCATGAAATATTACTGATTGAATCAATGGACCCAGATGCATTGGAACGTAGACTCTCACCGATCGCGTTTGCAACTGATGGCTTATCTGTATGTTTCAATTTATTTTTATCATGCTTTATTAGAATTTTAGTCTGATAGGGTGGTGTAATAACACTTTGAATAGTCACAGACATAATGATAATAATATAATCAACAGATAAGCAGATGTTTTTGGGTTATAAGTTGTTTGTGTATAATGTTACAATGAATCAAGTTATTATCTTATTGAAGTCATCAATCAATCTAAGTTAGAAAACTATTAAAAATCTGGACTACCATTTCATGGAACTCCTCAGTAGAGCACATCTACAACCACACCAGCCGATAGTTGAACCTAAGACCAGTGAGCCGAAGTCACATGGTGTTAATCTCTAGCGTTAATCAGTACACGTTATTGGGTAACCATCTTCTGTTATCTTCAGTGAGTATCTTCCTTATACCTGAAACAGTTTAGCTCCACTGGTTATAGCTTCTCATTAGAACTCTTCAAATTTTCTCTTCAATCTGGTCACTAAAGAACACATGATAGTTGTCAATACGAATGCGTAGAGATTATTCAATTTCATTTGAACTATAAACTGATCCAAGTAAGGCAACTGGTTAAAACCTCGAAGAACTGTACAGATGTTTGTTTCTATCTAGGAAATCCTTAAAACTATCCATTCACGACTTCAACAACCGAGATCAAACCTATGATTTTCAGGTTTCTGTCGATTAATCTTCAGACTACTGAGCCAGCTTCGAATAATTTATATTTCTTGAATATCACTGGTTGCTAAACTTAGATCAATTCATGATCTTCGTGACAAATGTATTTATTTAAATTATCATTCTCATAAAAAGGTTTTTATTAGTTACACAGCAACACTATTCACATTTCGATTTATTTTAAGACTGCAGAATACCTCTAGATCGTGGTATCAGTTTAAATATTTATGAACAATAATGCGATTTCCTGAACAAAATAAACTCAAGGAAATGTGAAATATATTTAACAGGTTATTCTAGCCTCTGGACAGATTATTCTATTCATTCTTATCAAGCCACATTTTTACCCTGTCACTTATTCGCTTATTAATCCTGACTGTTTCTTATGTGATCGTATGTGTGCTAATTACTTACCCTACTCGGTATGTATCTGTGACTTATTTTGTTCGACTATAAATATCGATTCACGCTTGACTAAATCGAGTTGGCTCACTCTCCTTATCCACTGCGCGTCATTTCGTTTTGCTTCGCTTTCCGATCAACGATTGTACGAAATCCAAAAATCTGTTCTCGTATTTGACTTATTTAACTCCGTTATTCACTAACGCTGGTTAAGTCGATAATTAGATACGAGGATTGACGACATTTGTATTTCAATAACAATCATCCATACGATCCAAATGAAGTCAGATTTAGGGCCACTAAAATATAAATGTAAATTAGAATCGTCTACCTATGATTCAGAAGATAATAAAATCTTGAAAGTTCTAGACCAATCTCTACCCAGATTAAATTACTATATAACATATATAGACTAATAGAAACTGCCTCTAAAATTCTAAATGAAATATCAAAACATACTTTCTTGACTGTGATAGACTTGAGAGTACATCACAGCTTCTTCTAGATTTTTTTCTTTCAATACTTCAAAATGCTTTTGATCATTATTATTAATTTTATTTCAATTCACTCATAAGGTAAATTACATAGATTTAATAAATGGTCCAAGTGGTCATGAAGTATGCTCAAGTTATGCATGTTTAAAACGTATAAGTACATTTATGTCTGTTGTTGCACGTCAAAAAAATTTTGTTATGCATATGACTAGTACACCTCCACAAGAATTACGTTTACCACAAGCTGATCCAGATTATGCTGTACGTCTTGGAATTGATTATTTCACTGCTGGAATACTTGATGTTTATGTGAATGGAGTATATATGAAAGCAAAAAATGCTATAACAGATAATTTAGTAAGTTATGATTTTATATGATTGATAATGTATTTAGTGATTCGCAAAATTTTATTTTGTGTATCAATCACTAGCTGTTTATTGTTATTTAAGTAGTAAGTTAAATAAGACGAAAGTGTTTTTTTAATTTTACTACTCCCATAACAAATGTAAGGTTTTACCACACCTAATTACATGTGAATTAGTACATTATGTTGGCTTTTCTTTAATACAAGTGATCTGTACGCTGTATTTTTCTATATCAAACAGATATCTTAATACGTAAAGAATATACAAGTATTGCCTTTACTGAAGAGTAACAACAGAAGTGAGAGTTTTATGTTGTAGTGCTCTCTGCAATATTCTTCCAGTTTACATGTTTATAATATATCAAACGGTTGTTTTTCACGAATATTTGAAACCCAATTAACAGGTTCATAGAAAACCGGTGCTGTTTAATAACTTACAGTAATCAATATCTTACTTTTGTCCCTGAGCAAAGATATCATATCAGAACTACAGGAAGTATAATTTATATGTAGTGGTTATTTGGATGTTCCTGTTGATATTCAAGACTGGAACCGATCAGCCTCTTTTAGTATATATATATACATCCTATGCGGATTACCTCGATATTGCCACCAATTTATAAGCATTTTCAAGAATAGATGAATAATGGCTAGCAGTGGTAAACGAGTTTGAGACTGTTAGACCTATCATCGAACAAACAGAATTGTCTCATATTTGATGTATCAAGGAGTGGTGTAGGTTTCTGACGATATTTCTTTGATTGGTTAAATTTGAAGAAATTAATAACTGCAGAATGAATAACTCGTTTTCCGAGTAATCATAGCAGTTTTATTGTTGAGCCACTGTTAAATGTACAAAAATCCAACTGTTATATTTGAGAATTTCATTGCATAATTCATAATGTCCTCAAAACACAAACAATACACTCATATATATATATATATATATATATATATATATATATATATATATATATATATATATATATATATATATATATATATATATATATATATATATATTCTCTTTGTATTTTATTTTAGGGTCAAACTGTACTACAAGCACCTAAAACATTAAATGAATTTATGCCAAATGTAATAACTGATCCAGCTGGTACAAATTATTTTGATGATTCATCTCAAATGTTATATGTTATTATAAAAGGTGAAGATATTATTACAATTAAATTATCTCAATTAATAAAAGTAGCATTCGGTTTACCCGCTATGACTATTGATCAATTTTATGGATCAGAAGTTGTAAACAATTTAGCTAATTATTTAGGTGTAAGTATAAATATTTTTTTATTTTATTCTAACACTATTAGTTTATTTCAGTCATTTTGTAATGAGAAATTTGTTATTCAAGCATTAGGCAGAAGATGATTAAAGATTGAAAGGATATTTCTTTTCAATTAGTTTTTCATCTTGTTTTCATTATAATGTGTATGTTTTAATATAATAATAATGTGGTGTGGATTACTTATATCCACATAAGTAGTATATAACGGTGGTCAGGCATAGAATGTATTTTAGTAGAAGGTCGAGGAGGAAAGAACGGAAACGGAACACAATTGGTATAAAAATGCATGAACAATGAAATCTGAGACAATGGACCGATGTTTACATATGGTTCCCATTGTGAAAATTAGAACACATATAAGCGAACAATTGTTTTCAATTAGATCGTCATCAGGCTTTATTCTAATATACATGAATGTTTATATGGAAATGTTAAACCAATCAAGGCAATTTGGGTCAATAATCACAATGAAATAGAATAGGTCGTCACAAATAATAGGTAAAAATATAAGTTGATAGTAGGAAGACAGGTGTACTGATACTAGGTAATAGTAATAAAATACGATAACAAAAGTCTTACCAATAGTTAAACATTGGAAATAGAAGGTCAAACGTGGGTAAATAGACTTGAACTAGTCATCACAAGACATTAAAAATAAAATAAAATAAAAAAATAATAATAAGAATTAAAAAATCGTTTGCTAAGTTATAACTGGCCATGGATGGGATAGGGGGTTACGAATTTCTTCTGTACTTATTAATTGGGGTTACATGTACGAATTCCAATGGCTTCAGCTATATGTGGGAGGCAGGAACGAACTCCGTTGGGAAATGATCGAGGCATATGATAGATCACTCGAAATGCTTCCGATTTATCTACTGTATGACCGCTATCAATAAGATGTGCCAAGACAGAACTACGAATTGCTTTTATCTGGCTCTATATAAACCAAGCTGGTTGGTTAAGTTGTCTGGTAATGCGCCTGATATAGCTATCTCCACAGGAGCAGCTGAATTTGTAAATGCACATTGAGGAGGCCAACTCAGTTAACTTATCCTTCGTTTGAGTAGACATGGCTGATAGACAAGAGATAAGACTTTTGCTATCGTATTTTATTACTATTACCTAGTATCAGTACACCTGTCTTCCTACTATCAACTTGTATTTTTACTTATTCTGTGTGGTGACCTATTCTACTTCATTGTGATTATTGACTCAAATTACCTTGATTTGTTTAACATTTTCGTATAAATATTCATGTCTATTGGAGTAAAGCCTGATGAAGAACTAATTAAAAACAATTGTTCGCTTATATGTGTTGTTCTAATTTACAAATGGAACAGTCAAGTTTGAGACGATGGACTGATATTTTGCAAATTAACTATTTACTGTATGGTTCTCAGATTTTAGTAAGATGCTCTATAATTTCGTGTCAAACACGTTCGATTGTCTCCACCCGCGTTATTGTTCACTACAATCATGTTACATACTCTACAAACGCTTATGAGATTAGTAATGAATGATAAATGAAGTAAATTAAGTCGTTACTTGAAGGAGTTTTGTGTGGACTAGTTTAATTTGTAAGTGGAATATGCCACAAATTGGTCGTATTCGGTATACCACTGAAACAGTTCTCCCTAACAGTACTGGTTGATCGTCAGCCTACATCGTAATTTAAATGGAATTCAGGACACGCGTTTCATCTCGTTTGGGACTCATTGGTTGGTGTTCATTCTGGGTCTCAAACTCAGTACCCCTTATCAAGTACACTCAGCTGACGAGTCCTAAATAGGACGAAACACGATTCAAACTGAAGTCTACTGCTAGCCATTATCCATCTTTGCTTATAATGCTTGTGACTTAAGGTAATACCGAGGCAATATACATAGTACGCACATATACCAATAAGAGACTTCTCATTTGTAGTCCTAAACATCAATGGGAAAATCCAAGTAAAATAAGTAAACAATACTGAGTGAATTTATACATCGTAATTTGATTTTGGACATTGTATCAGTGGTTTATTGACTAGGGATTCATTGTGAGATTTGGTCTGACAAGTTCCATAATAAAATAAATAGCTCTTCAGTGTTTGCTAGTTCACAATCATACTAGCACTGTGACTAATCTATATAGAATATTATCTATGAAGAAAGTACAAGATGAATAAAGTGACTACTGTACAAAGGCATTACCAAACAAATGAATGAATTGGTTATATAGGCATAAGATCCATAGATTATATATTATCGAATTCGGGAGCTCATATAACTTCCAATAAGAAGTCGGTTACTAAAAAAGTTTGCATTAAAAAAGTAGAGATGAATGTTAAGATTATGTGAGGGCAAAAAAACCAAAAAGAAAGCTGGGATATTTATCGATAAGTAAAAGGGAGAGAACAATAATTCACCATAACTTTCTCAAGACAAATGGAGCTGTTATATAAATTTCTCTTAAGTATAGGGATACGATTTCTTAAACCATATACCGCTGTATGTTTAAAAAGCTAATCAAATTTAATGGAATACTCTGTATTACTCTCAATGCATTATTTATTTCTGCTTGATCTCGTGTATTTACTAAGCAAAAACATATAGAGTTCTTGGTCGACCTACATTTGCTCTTTAGCTAAGCCGAATAAGATAATTTTTAGGAAAACTCTATGAGAATACTTACTGAATCGTACACCCGTAAGTAATTTGCTTCAAAGGAGCGGTTGAATTGGTAAATATGAGATGTCTTCTTTTATATTCCGGGTTGTGATTATAAGGTGGTTATAGAACGGGTAGCAAATGTCTTGTTTAGAGTTTTAATTATTCCTCTTAATACTGTCCCATTAGTGCTGTGATTCTAGAAATGTAGTTTTTTTAAGAATACAAGTATCCCACGAAGTGTCGGTAATTTCAGACTTCTCTTGATCTAAACCAAATGTGGATTTTATTTAATTTGTCCTCAACTATTTCATTAAAACAAATTAGCTTGATATGATATGTTAAACATTTCATTAAGCATTTTTGATCTGAAAATCGCAGAACTGTAAAAATGCACATATTAACTGAGTAATGTTGATTTTGTCTGTAGACATATTTTTAGTGCATCATTTAATCTTCTGTTAACAAGACGTGGAATAGTGCCATTATGTTCTCCATTCAAGGTGAAAGTGGTCAATAGAATACTTCTGCTAAATCCGCTAACTACACTATTCTCTTCGACTTCACTACCGTTAAGAAAACTAGTTCATAATGGCTCATTTGTATTAATCGTCAGTCTTCACATAAATGCTAGATTTAGTGAATAAGTGATAAGGAATGTATCACCAGATTGGAGTGCTTATTTGGTTGACTGAACAATCAATAATCTACATTTTGACTGACTAAAATTTATTAGATTTATTTGGAAGCTGAACGATAAACGAGAGGAGAAATCAGAAAATGTAAAATTTAATTTACCAGATTAGTATGTTTATACTTTTCCAATATATGCGTCAGTCGAATAATCTGATCAAAGACACTGGAAATACAAATATCTTACTGAATAAAACAATTCATATAATGGTACAGAACATTCGGAAGTGCCATTTTATACTTTTTACATCATTTGTTCCTCATGGAAGATATTTCTTACATCCAGCTTTCCATTGTAAGTGGTATTTATGTTTCAACCATGCTTCTTAGCTTGTTCACTTCATACATTTCTATGATGATATTTACTGTGAAAACTTATGATAATTCATATTATTCTCATAGGATCTCATCCAAAACTGACTATTTTTCTCAAAAAGTAACCGTCCTACTTCGCTGAGGTTTATAATTATACCATGCATTTATTCATGTACGTCAGAAGATAAAAAAACAAATACTTTAAGTACTTACTCATAACGTTACATAAATAGCTACCGATCAAGAAGCTATGTTTCAAATACTAATTACATTTTTAGTTAATTTGAAAAAACGTGCTACCTACCAGATATACGATTACTAAGTTGTAATGTATATATAATTTAGAAAGTGATTTTGTACATGTATCTAGTTAAGATGACAGAAGATCACATTGATTTGACTAGGGTTTCGTAAAGATAATGTATGTGTTTTTTCATTTCATAAACAAAATAACGTGAACATATTTATCTTTAGGGCCTAACATGTTATGAAATATCATAACTTATTATCTAACTTAGCACAAAAGACTTATGTTTTGACATAACCTTCATTTCTCCATGTTTAAATGCAATCACATTCTATTTCCTTAGATACCTGCAAAGAATATCCGGATAGTCAAGGTGGTATCTGAGTCCAGTACAAATTCAGGACGTCGTCGACGTCGATCTGCATCTGGTGTTTTTGTTGGATTAGAAATTTCAACACCACCTAGTCAAAACTTATCAACAGGCGTAACACCAAATGTTACATCTGGTTTGACAAAAGTTGAAAAAATATCTTCCAACGTTGTAACATTAATACAAACAGGATTATTAGAATCAGGTAATTTAAATTTATTCTGAGAACTTTGAATTCATTTAACCATGCTATCATGCACTGATTTAGCTACTTTAATTAAAACTTTATACATATATAGATAATCATTACAGTTCATTTTTTGGGTTAATATATTTGTCCAAGTAAATCACTCAACCGACACAATGATAATTTGTAAATGAAAAGAAAAACAGTTAATAAGCTTTAGATAGGTTGTTAAATTTGCTGGTAGTTTTACTTATGGAATGATACCGATTGGAGTACCATTCAGAACTACTGAAGACTGATCTACTCATTTATTCTAGTTTTGGAATTTTTGTTATTGTGCAGATTGTCAAACTTGGGATTTCACATTTGAGAAATCTGAAACTAAGACGTAAAAGTTGTGCTTCATACTTTCGGTCTCAGTGATTTGCCAGCCGATATAAATTTACGTCGAAAACTGCCTGTAAATTAAGTGAGCATTAGAGACTTTTAAAGTTAATACAGTTATTATACGTCCAACCAGAATAGCCTGTGTTTCACGACAGATGTGTTATTTGTTGAAATTTCAAATTACGTAAATTTACAAGTTTCCGTATAACTGAAGAAAATGCAACGGAACACCACACTTTCATCGCACTCTATAAATCATTTCGTTCTTGCTTGGAAGTAAGAATGAATAGACGCAGAGATAAAGTAATATGGTAAGACTGTAATTTATAGACGAACCAGTCAGATTTAGGATAACATGTCTTGGATTTTGGCATGAAGTATGAGTGGATATATCTAGATTAAAGTTTGAATATATTTATGAAAATACTTTAGAATATCGTAGAAACAAAATGTTGGACCATAAACTTAATAACAATTAGGACGTTGTAATCTTTCATGTCAGATTAACGAACTCAAATAAAATGGCAGTGAGTATTTGAATATACTTTGATAAATATTATCGATATATATGTGCATAAATAATGATAAGTACGCTGAAAACTGGAATAAAAGTTTAATATTGTTTTATTAGCTATCAATACAACAGTTGTCAGTGTAACAATTCAAAACCTACACCATTATCCGGTAGTGCATTATGGGCTGCTCAAGTTTCAGATTCAACAACTTCACAACAAATTCCTGAAGCTATTCAAATACCAGTAAAGTGTCAAGTTAAAATTGTAGTACCTACAGGATATACTTCAGTTGTTGAAGGAGTTCCATTCATGATAGAAATTAGTACATTGGACTCTTCGGTATGATTTATGTCAGAGTTATTGTCTTTGTGTGAATTAATTAATTAATTTTTAACATATAGAAATTATAAATGAATTCAAAATTAGCAACAAACTGCAGTTTCATTATTCATATCATACTATATTATTGTGTATTGAAATTGGTCTACACTTCTTTACGTTTACGTAAAACGTTATCATTTCAAATCATATGTCTTTGGTCTTTCGTATAACTAAACTTTAAAAGGACACCATTGGTTAGATACATTAGTGATTGATTAGATATTGGTGTCTTTATTTCAATTCAGTGACCAATTGTTAGTTTGAGCAATTGTCACTAGGTCATAATTCTTTTATTAATGAGTTGATAAGGCTATATTAGTTGTAGTCAAATTAAAGCCTAATCCATGAAGATTAAGAATTAGAGTATTTCCAATACACTAGTTTAACATAATAAGTTTAAATCTTACAGTGAACAATAGAAAAATGGAATTTATTCAATAGATCAGTTGCTTACACAGTATATTCTTTCACAGAATTTCACCTAACAGTAAAGATTAGATTTGTACTTCAAAGAAATAACATTTAGAGTTTACTAACTTCGTTTGATAATTTATTTAGCTGTTGATTATTGTCAAAAATGCAACTATATATAATGAGATGAAATAAAATGAACAAAAATAGTATAATCCTGTATTAATCTCTTAAGTAACTTGAAAACCGATTAATTTTAAAAGAAACGAAATAATTTATTAATTATCGTTTTTCTTATGTTCTTAAGTCTTCTTATATTTTCAATTAATTAAGATAAGATTCTATTCTATTCAATTTTGTTGTCCTCTAATCCGAGCACATCGCTCATAAATTGGCGACATTAGCTCTGACCAGTTATAGACTATGATGAATAACAATTTACCTTGAGTACGGATCGAGATAATTATTAGTACCTATGGTTCCAGAACACAAGTCAAAGGAGAGAGCTACTAGACCACATTACACAGTAAGCAAAAGTGATTGTTTACCCATAACCAAGCTGAAATGTTAGAGAATAGAGAGTGAAGTGACTAATTAATTAACGATGATTTAAAAAACGTTAAACATGTCAAAAGCTTGTAAATAAGGCAACGTAAAAGTATTATAAATCGAGAAGTTAATCATTACATAGTAAAACTAATAAATAACAGTTCACCAACAAACAGTTTCAGAAGTTCCGCTAAAACTGTCAATGTAATTTTATGGATTTTCTCGTTTTACCACGTGAATATTACAATAATATGATTATTTTTCTTTTTGGATAATACTGTTTTAGGGAAATATTGTAAAACCATTAGGTTCAAATTCAAGTATTTGGGCATATGAAGCATTGCAACCAAATGCTACAGTTTCACCTGTAAAAGTACCAAAAACAAATTTTGAAGATCCTACAACTGGAACAGCTTTAATTTCCAATTTGATATTTTCGGAATCTGGTCAGGCTGATCTATTTGTTTCGGTAAGTTATTAAATATCTCTGTTATCAATGAAATGTTTTTTATCAATTTTAATTTATGATTGAGATCATGAATTGATTGATGTTAGACCACCATTGGAAACCTTGAAGCATTGAACGGTCGTTTCGTCATGGTATGGGACTCCTTAGCAATGTGAGTCCACGATCCTGCACATATGATTCGAACCCAAGATCTTCGGTCTCGCACGTTAACGCTTGACCTCCAGACCGCTGAACCGGCATTCAACGGAGTTAATGTATAACTTCAATCAATATAAGTAGTATATATACATAAATATGACAGGAAATATTGTTTTCACCTTCTAACAGAAATCATTATTTTTTGTTAGATGATAGAATATTAAAGTAAATCCAATTGAATTAAAGTTACCATTTTAATTCTCCTGAAGTCAAAAGAAAAAAACCTTGTTTGATATTATTGTTTAATGACAAATAAAACAGAGCGTGTAACTCTAGTACTGAAAATATTTAGCTAAGAAATTTACAAAAATTGAGATCAGCAAAAGGAACAAAGAAAACTAAGGACAGCTAACAATAGATCTTACCTCATTTGCAACTATCATACAATGCACAATTACTATTTTATAATAAATCAATCTAGTGAACTTCATTTCCCATAGTAAAGGTAATTCTGTTAAAGTTTATCTAATGGTTGTGATCTTTAATTAAATATGACATCCTTATAGTTATGACACTTGTTTCAATGATATAAGGAATATCACATATGGAAAATGTGTAAAGACGGAGAAATATGTCATACATAAGTGATGGATACAATTAATTGCGTTTCATATTAAATACTACATTAAAGTGTTACAAAATGCATGTTAATATTTGTATAAATCTTAATAAAAGAATGCTGGTTATGGTTATTCTTTCTACTGGAAAATTTATGAAATACTCTGAAAGAATTCAAGTGCTCCAAATAAACTATTTAGTTAAATCATTAAATACAATTTAAGTAAGAGCTCTTCATAGCCAACATATGACTAGTCAAATAAATAAAATATATCAGCTAACTGAGAGTAATAATAACTCAATATCAAAGGATGTAATAAGAATACTATGTGATATTATTACAGGTATGTTTTTTAGGCTTAAAAACAAATGTTGCAATTGTGTAAAATGAATGTGTTTCAACAAGATGTCTATTTCGTGGGCTTGAATAATTTTCATGAATTTTATTGAAAATAATGAGCCAATCGAAGTTAAACCACACATCAAAACCTGGAAGTACTTGATATTCACTTCGTCCTAGTGTAGGACTCCACAGCGGTGTGCATCCACGAACCCCGGATCTCTAGTTTCACATGTGAACGCCCAGCATCTAGACCACTGAGTTGGCATCCAACGGAGTCAGTGTATGACTTCAACCAACCCAAGACATGGCGTGACCATCTTCTATTGTCTTCGGTGTGTAGCTGTCTTAGTTATTAACAACCTTGGATGCCGAGTCAGTGGTTCATAGGTTAAGCGTCCGATCGAGGTCTAAGGTCCTCGGTCCCTGTACCGCGTGCGGGGTCGTGAATGCGTATTGTTGATGAGTTCCGCACTAGAACGAAACGTCTGTCCAGTCCTTCCAAGATTTTAATAGTGGCCTGAAATTGATTGGTTCACGATCACGATGCAATCGACAATTTCCACAACCTCATACTGAGAATGATTTTATAAACCGTATGTTCTCATTGGAAACTTGAAAAGTTCATGTTGAAATAAATAGTAAATAGTTCTTTACTAAACATTTAACATCGGACCCCAAAATAAAATAAGTTGACATTCACTTCTCGCATCACTATTTATCATTTGTATTATGAAGAATTTCATTTATAAACTTGATCTATGGAATTCTATCAGTACTAAGAATTGGACAAAATATACCAATGCCCATTAATCAGTCAGTGGAAACATCTCATTCATACAGCCTATCGGTACTGTCTCAGACTTTGAAACCGTCTGACAAGCATTAGAATCCACTAGGGAGCATTAGTTCTCTGAAAGCAACAAGTACATGTTGTTGATGAGTACAAAATGCAAGGAGGATTAAGTCGAATACTACCTACATTTGCCCAACATTTATACACCGTCTTAATAAAGATTATAACTGGAATATTATTAAAACCTAGGATTATTAGTTGCATCGTAGTATACTTTCGTTTATCTACTATAAACAGTTTAGACCTAACAAACTGATTAATAATCTTCACCCTATCAATGAAAAACTGATAATTTAATGAAGACAAAACAAAACTATTCGAATTCAATAGTTTTTCGATTAACACACCATGTAAATTTGTGTTAGGTTGCCAATTAGGCTGCTTACTAATCCTTTGTCATTGAGTAGAATGACTTGTAAACTTAGTTATTCAGTCTTGTTTCAACTGTACTGTTAAAAATTGTAGTACCAATGATAACTTGTCTCCATGAAGTAATCAATATAGAAACAAATCACTTCATCAGTAATTTTATCTTCACATAGATGATGCTTGTCTAAATCCAAAAGAATTCGTTTTTAAAGTACGTCAATTTAATCTTATTTGTGTAATTTCCAGATAATATTTAATATCAATATTTATATTTACAGGTGATTTCACCAAATGAATCAACCAGATTAAATACATCTTTAACTTTTCCTGTAGCAAATAAACAGCTAAGTTTACTGATTTGTCCAATTCCATCTAATTCTGATAATTCAATTATCAAATTATCTGTTAATCAAAACTTTACCATTCAAATGAACATTATTGACAAACAAAGTGGTGCTCCAGTTGAAAGGATTAATTGGCGAGTAAGTTACAATATGAATTGGACTTATAGTCATTTACTGTATGAGTAACATGATTGGTTCAGTTAGGAAGAAACATTACATTGCAATTATTGAGATACTGTGAAATTTTCTAGAGTATTCATTAGAAAAAGGTTCAATTACGTATTACCGTTCTAGTCTAAGACACGTTGACAACAGTGTGAATCAATAATGCCATATAAATTCACAACTGACCAATACAATTACTTTAATATCTAAGGTAGTCAAACTAATAGATTGATTAAGTAAATTTATTCTTAATTTTGAATCAAGTTAGAGAAAAGCAACCATTGAGTAGTCATATTAGAAGATTAAATGTCATATTTACATGCAAAAATGAGCGGAACTAAGTTACCTAACGAGTGGTTTAATAACCAAATAAACATACAAATGAAATCGACTTAACCAATAATATTTATTATTTGTTAGTTGTGACATGATCGAACCGAAAACTTTAGGGTTACACAACTCCACTTTATTGGCTATATTGATTCATCATTAAGATTGAAGTACAGGAATGTTTAATTCGGAAGATATTTTAATGGTGTACAAAGAAATAGTAGGTCACAAATAGAACTAAAATACATGTTATATGTTTCTAGTAGGTTTGCTTAAAACCTAAATTTGAACTTTTTCATGATGCACTTCACCAACTGACCTTAGCAAAGGTATCATTAAAAAGCAATCAATAGTGGATAGCAGTTTTGTTTTAGTAGGGGACTATTTAATAACGAGCATCTATTACCCCGTCAGAGATCAAACTCAAGACTTTCAGGCCTCAAAGCGAGTATATAGAAATACAAACCATTAGATATCTCAAGTCTATTCACTACAAAAGACTCAGTGTTCGACCCCTAGTATCATTTTTTGATTGATCTTGCTAAGAAGTTCCATACTAGAATGGAACATCTTTTTAATCTTTTCTCTTTCACAATATCAGTTCAATGAAACTGAGTTTATAGAGTAGATATTAAAACCCTAATTATATATCCACAAACCTTTTTCTCTTTATAATTCTTTATTTAAGAATTTAATATGGAAATTCACTGGTGATATTTGTCCAAATAGTAGAAAACCAAAAAATATTCCAATAAATTCCTCTTCTTCATTAGTATATGATTTATCTAAGACAAATAACAATTTCACATGGACTATTAATGGATTTCAATTATCTTGGGTATATACATATTGCATTAGTGCTAATGCTTATTTAAATGACAGTATAACAAGACAATTACAATATGATTTACCAATAACCAAATTTAGAATTTATGTTAATCCAGAAAATTATACTGAACCAACTGAAAAAGTAATGAAACCATTTCGATTTAAAGTTACTGGTAGTTATGAAAATATGTTACTATATGTTGATGAATTTAAAGCTGCTATACAATCTGAATTATTAATGCGTTATCCTAATATATTATTTGAAAATATAACATTAAGTAAAGGTAAGAATATTGATTTATTAAATTTTTGATAAGATTTTATATTTTAAGTAAATATGGATAGTGGCTAACCGTGAAATTCAGGACAAAGCGCGTTTCGTCCTATTTGGGACTTGTCAGCTGGATGTATCTGCATCCCAGAGTTGATGTTCACTTTGGAACTCGAACCCAGTACCATTCGCTTTAGACGCCATTGCATTACCCACTTAACTACTGATTCCTGAATGCCACCTGCTTGTGGGAAGATACGAAAAAAACAACACCAAGTGGATTTAGATTTTATATTTGTTACTTAAATAATGAACTAGACCTTTCATATCTGCTTTTGGAATATAAAGGTAGAACCACATCATAGTGACATATCTATGTGTTTCATGAAATAATCATGAAGTTGTTATTTGGTGTATGTTACTGATGTCTACAGATATAAGTAGTATGCATCACCAATCGAAAGTGGAATTCCTGGAGGTAGAAGTTTGGGAAGATTGAAGAGAAGAGAATGAGGACAGAGAGTGATCGATATGGAAATGAAGAAATAACAAAATCTGAGGCGACTGATGAATATTTTGCAAATGAAGTGTTTACTGTATGGTTGTCAGATTTTACCAAGATATATTTGATTATCCCCACTTGTGTTCGCATTCACAACAGCTATACTTCTCAGTAGCCAATGGAAGTATAAATTTATTAAATTTAGAAGCTTTTAGCACAATGTAAAAAAACTTCAATATGTACGGCATGATATGTGAAATTCAAAATCGGTATTTGGTTTTTTCTTCAGATTAAAGTTTTGTTCGATGGTAAAAACGTTTCTATATGTTTGCTGATCGTTTCCCGGCATAGATTCCTTATAAGCCTTCGAATATTCTCAAAGAGAACATTGTCTTGATTTCAAGTTGTTTGAAAGTACACTCAACAGTGTATTTACACAATAATATCCTTATCTAACAATTTCTTTATTCTAAATGATTACATCCAACATATCTAGTAGTCAAAGTAATAAACGTTATCTAGCGTATCACAAATAACATAGCATGGTTTGGCATTATGTTTGAATAAATAGAAAAATTTCGGTCATTTCGGGTTTACATATTGTATTAAATCTAATAAGGATCTCATATATCTTTACATTTATACATGGTTACTTCTACTGCAATATAATACCAAGTGCCCTATATAACTAATCCAAAGGATCATAAAGATATAATCATATTACTAAGGATGATTTCGAAAGTCAGCATTATTTTCAGAAATTTGGCACTAGCTAGCACTTTATAGTAGATATTTAGATTATCATTATTTTGGCAACATAGTATAGTTCCACACACTTCAGACAGAGAAATATGTCTAAAATCTTGTTCGATTTCCATAAAGTGAATTAATTTACTTTGTTAATGGTTTTGAAGAAGATAATGTTTACGCGAAGTAATTCATATATACAACCGGAATGAACGAACCCATCAGACACATATTTTTGAGGTTATTACTGCATGGTCCTTCAAATTTTTATGCAATCATTAGTGTGCTCTTCGAAGGATATTGATGAACACAAACTCGATAACGTACGAACTTAGAATACAATTAAAAATTTCAACTGAGAGATTTAGGTTAGAATCGTATATGACTAAACATGATAGGAAACATGACTCAGTGAGTGAACAACGTGTTTCATGAACTATGATAAAAGACTATCTAAAGTCATAGTAATTTGTTTAATGCAATAAAATTTTCTTTCGTTTACTTCAGAAAATTAACTTTCGGAAATTGATTTCATAATCAGCTCGCAAGATTTCTAAATAAAATCAGTCGCCAAATAGAAGCAAACTAATTGTTTTTTCCTCATGAAATTTGGTAATTTTGCACTGTAATTTGATAATATACCATATTTTCTCAAGAAAAACGTTTATTTTGAAGGGATGGAATCAATGATTCTGCGAAATCAATTTTTTTTATTGTTTCTACTGTACCAGTAACTATATATATATAATATATATACCGAAGAAAGATCAGAGCAATTGTGAGATCTATAGTCATAACACTACTGTCAGTACTAGAAAAGGTATTCAACAGAGTGTTTCTGTACCGGATGAAATGCTCAGTAGACTCCAAATTTCGATATCAGAGTGGGTTCGGTAGTGCACAAACTAAATCGTGACACTACGGATTATTGTTGAGCTATCAGTTGAATGGAACTCGTCACTATACATCAACTTCTTTGACTATGAGAAAGCATTTGACAGTGCACATAGAAGAACATTATAGAATCTTCTTCGACTCTATGATATATATATATGTATAGTAGATGGTGAACAACTTCTGCATTGCAGTAAATTCCACCAAACTGAAACACTCGTGTAAAACATGTTATCCATAAAGTTATCTTCCATACACGAGTATAAAAATCTGTTGGTTCATGGAAATAGTTAAGATATTATGTTGCGGCATATATATATTTAGGATGAATCGGATATTATTCTTATCATTTCTTTTACTTTAATAAACGCATTATAGGTAGTATAACTGTAGATTTGATTGCAGCATCTGATACGATAACTGTAATCCAAAATGCATTGACCAGTTTTACATCTTCTTTAAATGATGGAAGTGTTACTTTTTCCGTCGGAGGTGTTGATTATACAGCAACAAATGACAAAACAAATGCTGGATGTGTAAGTTTTAAAACTCCTCATTACATTATAAATTAATAATAAGACAATAATTATTGTCTTATTATTATTAGTATAGGGTTGTGAGGATATTTGATTTCATCGAAATCATGAACTGATCAATGTTAAAACACCAGTGAAAATCTGGAAGCACTTCGTTCTAGTATGAGACTCCTCAGCAGTGCGTATCCACCATTAGATTCGAACCCAGGACCTACGTTAACGGTTACCTCTAGACCAGTGAACTTTATATTGCTGTTTAGTTTACTTATTTGTGGCAAGAAATCAATTATTAAAGATGAACATGTTGAAGTTTACCATTACTAATCTTATTTGAACATGATAAAAGGCCTAATTCAGTATAGCAATTATCCATTGAGATAAGAATTCCAATGCCTGCTTCCAAGAGAACTAAAACCTGTAAACAGGATCCAAAACACACATACTTCCCATCATACTGTGGTGTAATAAAATACTATATATATCCTGTTTACAGGTTTTAGTTCTCTTGGAAGCAGGCATTGGAATTCTTATCTCAATGGATAATTGCTATACTGAATTAGGCCTTTTATCATGTTCAAATAAGATTAGCAATGGTAAACTTCAACATTTGAAAAGCTTATTTGGCAGCCCAATTTTAAATAATACAAAGCGGCAATGAAAAGACATTTAGTATGATCCATCAAAAAACAGGTCTGACAATGTCATGTTACTCCGGCCAAGCTGAGACATGTTTGCGTAATTTTCTGTGTGCATGTTGACGGATAAAAAATGTGACATTAGTAATGTGAAAGGATAGAGTTGAATTTGCATGTATGTTAATAGTATGGCATAGGATTAACATAAGACATGGTAGCTTGGATAGATGATCCATGTCGGGTTGATAGTAAGGTCTTCTTTTCTAGTGAGAGTAGCAGGATCTAGAAATATATGAGAAGCATCAGCTACTCTCCTTTCCTTGTAGTTGCAAAAGTCATTTTGTTTTATTTATTATTACCAAATAATTATGAAATGCTCAATAGTGACAAGCTTCGAGAAGTAATTCTAGGAGTTCCAGTGAAAAACTGTGACCAGTGGAGTTAGGCTGTGTCGTTTAGAGACAAGTATCTAGCAAAGACAATAGAAGATGGTTGCGCAATATCGTGGATTGGTTGAAGTTAGACATTAACGTTGTTGGATGCCGGCTCAGTTGTCTAGAATTAAAACGTTCAAGCCCGATACCAAAGGTCCTAGATTCAAACCCGATGTACAGGATCGTGAATGCGCATTGTTGAGGAGTCCCATACTATGACAAAACGACCATCCAGTGTTCCCAGGTTTTCAATGGTGGTCCAGCATTGATGATGTTCTCAATAAAAAACACTCAGCAATCTCCACAACCTCGTTACTGACAAATAAAATAGTTTGATTCGTTAACCTGCTTGGTGCAATTTTTGTAGTATATATATGTATATAAGATTACCTTCCTGGAAAATTTAAATCTTTAAAAGATATCTGGTAATCATGAATCCTATAAACATGAGGTTAGATGTTAGTGAGATGTGAATTGATTGTACTTTTTTTAGTGGAGTTTTGTTCTCTGAGCTGGATGGTTTGGTCGTGGAACTTTCATCGCTCTTCTGAATGACATCATCAGCACAAATGTCAAGTAGAAGTGAAGTGTTCGAAGAACGTGCCAGAAGAACAATGAAAGCTGCATGACCAAACCATCCAGCTCAGAGAACAAAACTCCACCAAAATCATCCACCTGAGTTAGAAATCTTCATTGATTGTACTTTGAAATTCTGTTGTGTTTCTTTTTTCGTCAGAATGAAAAGGTTTCTTTGATTAATAATAACACTAATGATATACTGGAATATGAATTATATTTGGTCTATTTTTTCTTCTTATATACTTTTTTTTTAGAGATCAACTGGTTTTCTAACATCATTGATAACAACTCTACTCAATTTATTAATTTATAAATTATTACCCAGAATTTATTTACTTTGATTATAATTGTAGTTTTCGTATTCATTTTTATTTATTGTGTATTTCCATTATATTTATACATTCTACATATCTATGCACACTTTCTTACAAACAACCAAACAAACTACACATTGAATTCGTAATTGTGTCTTTTGTCATCTATTTTGCTAAATTTATTCTTCACGTCAATTAAAGAACAATCGTTAAATCACTAATACATGTTATGTTTATGTTTAGTTTGAGCAATTATTTTGATCGATGAATAAAAAATTAACTTTTTTGTCTGATAAAAAGTATTCGATTCGTACTAAACAAAGTCCAAATTACAAGGATGTAACAGTAGGACGAAATGGCTGTCCAGTGCTTCGAGGTTTTCCGATTGAATAACTCCCAAATGCTCTGGTACAGCCGAGAGTGCGAAGAGCCCTCTATCTCTCTCTCTCGAAATGCTCTCACATGGCCACGCGTGTTCTACTCACTTCCTTCTTGTGACATTACTGTTGTTTATGAAATTGAGAGGACGAAAAGCGAATGTCCGACGCTTCAACCGGGTTGGTAGACATGGAGAGTCCACCTAGGGGAGTTGGAAAACGCTCATTCCAAACCAATATTGCACATTAGCTCCAGTATCCTGAGGGAAAAAATGGCGTATGAACCAATCGTTGGTCACCGGCTACCAAGGGACAACATTTCCTTACGATGCTCCACTGCCTTGTGGGTCAAACCTATGGGTAGAAGACTCTGGGTGTGGCCCCCTAAGAAAACCACCTGCTTCGGTCTGAGCACCCAGGTAATATCACAGTCCACATACAAATCAAATAAGATTTGTGTGGCACATATGTATCTGGTGCCCCCTTGTACCAATATCTATGTGTTCAAACAAAAAATAAATAAAAATTAATTGACTGATGAGAACAACTATTAGAATTACTGTAATATCCACAAAATCCCATTCTTAATCTAATTTTATGTTCAATGAAAAAGGGTTTTATAGATGTGACAATCTAGTGAACAACTTAATTATTTAAGATATAGATGTGTGAAAACGATTTGACCTAAAATATTTCAGTACATGGAATGTTTAAGTATTCTTGATGATATCGTGGCAAAGCGTTTTTATCTATAATAGTATTTATGTTTGTCCTTAACTATAAATGATAAGGGATTCGATCATTATTTAGATAAATAGTCTGTATTTGAGACTTTCATCATGTTTTTTAAAGAAGGGAAAAGCTTGAGTAAGTATTCATTTGTAGGCAAGTAACGGAAGAATTAAGCTAATGAAATTAAAATAAAGACAATAAGATTCGCCTATGAATGTATTATTGATTACATATACATTACGATTACTAATAAGTCAAGATATATCGTAAATCAGTTCAAGAAGGCAACAACTTACTTAAGTGTAATTTCGTAGCTGGGCAATGTTTAAACGTTAGGTCCTTTCGAAATGTGCCCGCCCTTTCGTTTCAACGACCTTGAACGGCTTGACTAGAGGCGGTCATTCCGTATTTCAATTGCCGTGGGTTGGTTGGATTGCATGAGTATCAAGTTTTTTTTCATATATAAGTCATCTTATGCTACATAAAAAAGCACGAAATAAATATCAAAACCATTAATTTAGCGTTCTCTGTTTTGTAGTGTACACTTTGGCTCTGTTGTTGCTTTGTAATTTGATCTTTGATCTCAACAACCGTAGTAAAGCTCAACGAAATGTCAAGTCACAGGTAAATCCTAAGTATTTGTAGTCTTTCCTTTGGTTATTATTGTTGCAAGGAATAACTTTTTAATAATTAGTCATGTCTGTTTTTAGTGCTTCATGCTCAAGTAACATTTCAGTCGACTTAACCGATGCCTTTCAAAGTATGGTACTGAACAAGCGTTTCGTGTTGTGGGATGATTTTGAAAGCGCCTTAAAAGAGTTCCAAAAAGTATGGAATTATAAGTTTATCGCTTCTCAGACTACTTATACTCGTTACATCCACACAGAAAGCAGATTTCTGAAGGATGTTAGGTTCAAATACCTGTTTGTATCGTTTAATTGTACGTTTGGTCATAAACGGAAATCGGAAGGTTTGAAAGTGAGACAAAAATCGTAAGATCTTTAACTAATATCTTATGTTTAAGGTCTAAATTCCGTAATTGTCAATCTAAATTCCGTGTAAGACTAGAGGAGCAAGGATATGTCATCAAATCCTACAACATGCTCCACAATCATCCATGTAGTAGTTCATGGATGGTATGTGATCCAAGGACAAGGAGATTATCGTCAGAAAAAAAAGAGAACTTGAAGCCCGTAATACTTCACTGTGAGTCAGCAGATGAAGTGATCGAAAGTATTAAGGAGAGAACTGGCAAGCAAGTAACTGCTGCCAATGTCAAAGGTATGAAAGCTACACACTCCATTGGTAAGTGTATATAAATATATTTCAGGTTATTGTACTCGGAAGCAGGTTATGGATATGCTTAGACAGAAAGGCGAAGTGAGGGAACATTTAGAAAATGGATATGCCACTAGAATATGTATCAGTAGTTATAACCAAGTACAACTGTACAGGAAATGTCCAGAAGTCGTGTGCATTGATTCTACGTATAATACTAATAATAAAAAGTGAATATGTTTATCGTTGTAATTTACTATGTAGATATTCCTTACTCCAGTTAGTGGTGACGGATAATTGCGGTCGAGGTCGAACTGTAATGTTTGCGTGGACTCGAAGGGAAAAGCGTTCCGATGTGATATGGATTTTAGATCAATTCAAAGAGATAATTGGTGACACAATCTTGACTGAAACATTTGTGATGGATTGCACACAATGTGAAAGTGCGGCTGTCTGTATAACACACGGACATGCAAACATAATTTTGAACGCCTTTCATGTAATTCGCGCTTTCCGGAAAAAGGTACACCAGTGGTTACTTATATAAAATTGCCCTTAGACAAACGACAAAATATTGAAAACGTACTTAACTTAACTTGTGATTCTGCTTTCATTGCTCATTCACTTTTCGTCATGTTGTCTGCATGAATTACTTCGGACGAGTCAGTCTGTAATGCAGGAGGAATTCATGAATTAACTCATCAATAGTTGTTTTTTTATTCAAGTCTGTGTCGTAACAAGCACTGGGAATTTCTTCAGTGTCTAACCCTTGTAGTATTTCGTCTATACATCTGGTATTAGCAAGAGTAATTGGTAAGCACCATTCACAAATTACTCGACAATATGCATCATAACTTTGTTCACATTTTCGTCTGCGATTGTGCATTTCCTTTACAGAAAATTATTCGTCAACCCTCTAACAGACACATCATAAATCAGTATTAAGTACGACATGGTTTTGTCACCAAACTCAGAAGAGTTACCCATCGTTTTACTTATGAAGATTTTGTGCATATTTAATGTGGTGTTATACACTGTTCCTGTATACGTTCAGAAAGCCGGTAAAAAAGACTATCAACGTCAATTGTTACTCACATAATTTTTCTCTGATACCTTACACAATAATATGTCACTTCAGCACAAAACAATGCTACCTATAGTCCAAATAACCTTTTATGGCTAAATACAAACAATTTATATAATATTCATAGTTAGTTTAACGCTTACTTCTTTCTAATTACATTTTATAAACGACTACGGACATCTATGTTTGCCGTCACCATAATCAAGGAGGTGAAGCATATATAATGCTTTTTACGGCTTATTTTCATGAAAACTCAATCTGTAATCTATTTTTGACTAGAAAAATGGTGATTTGAATTGTTTGAATTTGTATTGTTAAAAAATAACCATATTACGCCAACTACATATTTACTTAGGTGGTGAGCACGAAATACGTCAAACTGCTTATAAATTGAAATAAAAACTACCTTCCAATCACAAAGATTACGAGAAGTCACGTATGATCGAAAAAAGGCTGTTAAGAGCTGATAAATAACGACACATAAAATCCATAACAATATGTTACATGTGCGCGAAAACCCGTGACCTAACACGCATAGTGTGCCCACCCTTGATTACGTACCTGGTTATAAAAGGCGGTCGTCATGGGCGCAAGGTCATACATTTGATCGGGTTAGACAAAGAGTCCAACTTCTAGCAAGTTTACACTTTTACAAATATGTTTTATAAAGTATTTTTTTGTTTTCATACTTTTTCGTACACAAGATGGCTACACTATGTCTATTTTCTTCCAGAATACCAATCCGTTCTGGAGGCAAATCACTTACGTGGAACCGAACAATTATCAATTATATTTATGTATTTCCATTTTGTATCTTATTATCGTATGCAGGCAGTGGAGCATTTCTTCAGGTTTGATTGGTTTTCACCATTACCTATGAAGTAGATTCTTCTTTACTTTTTACTTGAGGGCGACTCAAGAGACAGGTGAGTAAACATCTGATAGCCGGTTTGAGCATGAAAAAATCGTACCTCACCAACATAGTTTTGGGTAGCCCGCTCGCGGCACTTCCTCAGATATTCTTGTTCCACGTTCTCACACTCTTTCTATTAGGAGCACGCAGCGAACCGTCAGCGATAGTTGTAGAAGAAATCACATGCTACAAAATAAAATGACAAGCTAGCAAATGAAGAGACATCCATGAACTATCGTTGATTGCTGACGAAATTAGTCGTCATTTATTGGAATTCAAACAGTGAGCGAGTTTGTAATTTTCCCTTGGGTAGAGAAAACAGAACTGAGGTGTTTCTGATAGCTAGGTTAATCGAACAGACATTCCTACGGAAGTCGATTCTAGGGGAAGCTAATGTAAAAGTATAGGTTGGTTGGTTAAGAGTTGACATCAAACAACCAAGCATATGTCAAAACAGTACAGGTCAAGTATTCATTCACTTCCTTATTTTGCATAGGCGTTATATTTCCTATTATCTTATATTGAATGTTCAGAGTCTTTGTTTGTCTGAACAAATAATCCCACGCTCCACTTTGACTGCGCTAGCATCGAAATGAAAACCTATTCATACTTGTCTGGTTTCTTCTATCAATAGCACGAGGGT